TGTCGTAATATAGAGACATACTCGTCATCATCGCGTCAAGCTCAGGCGAGATCGCGCAGACGTCCTTGTGCAAGAAGACAAGCGCGCTCTTGGCGCCGTTGACGTGGTTGTGCGAGTTGTATTGCGTGAGGTGGTCTACGTAGCGCTGGACGACTTTGACTGGCAGCGGGAGCTTGATGCGATCTCGGTCGTCCGCGTATTCACCCGTGTCCTCGTGCACACACTGGAGAAAGCTCACGTCGAGCCACCGGTTGACGCCCGGTACTGCTTCCGCGTCGAGTCGGCCACGCAGCGGTCGATGACCGCTGCACCTGGGATGTCGGCCGGCAGGGTACGAGGAGCGTCGGCCAAGACGGGAGGTGAGGAGGAAGCACTACTGGTGCTAGTACCGTATTGCGGCGCACCATCTTCGCGCGCGCGGCGGCAGTCGGAGGAGCGGTCGTGCGCTTCGCCATAGATTTTTCGAAGTGGATCCACGCATTTAACGGTAAAATAATGGTAATTACGAGATTTTACCGTTTTTTGGCACTATTGTGGCCCGATTTCGCTCAAATTTCGTAAAACCAGAATAATCGAGGCACTATCTTTGGGGCCCTATATCAATACAAAAATCAAGCTTAAATTATGCGGATATGCCGGATACGCCGGATAGTGGTGCCAATAGCTCGTTTTACGAAATTGGAATTTCGCTGGGCGTTATTTTCGGAGCCAGACCAAAGGATTATTTCGTAAACCGGTGCTATTTAGTGTTCTCGCGCATACCGATCGATCGTCGTTAGGAATTAGACCATACTAGTACGAGACAACAGACGCGTGGTGCCGTCTACGACTCGTCGTCGCTAGCCGTCGACATGCGAGACGAAGCCGGTGGTGTGGGTCTGTGTGGCGCGGTGGTGGATGCCACGTCCGAGGCCTTGGTTCGAAACGGCAAGCGCTGTGGGTACACAAGGTGCGTCGCAATGTCGCACGTGCCGAAATCGCCGGTGCCAGGGCCGCGCGCGAGGCGCACGTCGCCATGCTCGCCCCAGTCGGTGCCCCACGCGCTGCGCACCTTGAAGAAGCCGACGGGTGGTAGCGCATAACCAACGTCTTCAGTGCCGTAGCCCACGACGAGGACGGCTTGGTCGAGGCGGCCGCCCGGGCACCACGAGAGAAGACCACCCGTGTACAGTCGCCAAGCGTAGTTGTTGGTCGTCGCAAAGGCTACAACCGGCTGCGTCCGGAGCTGCTCCTCGAGCGCGGCCTCGCCACGGGCGCGCTCGATCTCACCGACGTAGAGCGAAATCGATCTGGTGCACTTGGTGTTGTCGCTGCATTTCGGTGTGACGCCCGAGTGGCCCGAGGTGTACGGATTCGCCTTCTCAGTGCACAAGGCGCTGGACCGCTCGAGCAGCCACTGCATGCCATCGAATGGGGTCCCGGGGCCCCAGCAGCTGTCCAGCCCGCTAGAGTATGTGCAGCTCAAGACTTGCTGTACCGAGAGGTCGATGAACTGGCTGGTGGCGAGACAGTGCGCCGACGACACGGCCGCCGCCGCCGCGATCGCCCAATCGCTTCGACACTTGCCCATCCATTTCACGGGCGTGACGCATGTCGATTGCGTGGTCCAGTCAACCGTATCGACGCCCGTGCCGCCGACAGCACTGCGATTCAAAGTGGCGGCCGCTGGCAGAGCTGCCGGTAGTAGCGACGGCGACGGCGACGGCGACGACGCGAACTGCGAAAACTCGTTGTCCGAGAGCAGCGCAAACTTGGTCAAGTGGCTAAAGGTCGCGTACGGGTTGGCCGCCTGCAGAGCGGGAAGCTTGTCCTTGGCCACCTTCAAGCGCCCGAGGAGGACGTTTTGTTCGTCACGTTGATCGACGCCATGGCTGCGCGCACGTGATCGTCGTTGCCAAACTTGGTTTGCCAGCGCGCCAAGTCGCGCGAGAGTTCATCGCGCTCGTCGGCCGAGAGCGTGAGCGCACCGAGTGGGACCGAGAGAAGCAGCGCGACCAAGCAGAGGAAGCGCATGACGAGCAGCTCGAATTGTGAATATTATCCGAGTGTCGAAGTGAAGCGTAGGTGCGTCATGCGCTTGGAAATCAAGTGCTCGCAGCTTCAACCGAGAGAAGACGGCGGCGACAACAACCGCGCGCAGAACGTGCGTCTTCATGAGACGCTTGCGGGAAGATCGTCATAGCCTCCGGCTCTCTCGACGCATTGCTAGGACCGCAGCACACGCGGTGGCACGAAGCGTCGGTCACGTTCCATGATGTCATTGCACCTTTCTTACCGCACGGTGCATGACGCGCGTGCGTCACCGACATGACACGGCCGCGTCGGCACCTCGTATCCGCCGTCGTCGTCTGATATGATGACGTGGCAGCCTCCAGTCGGAGGACGTCGCCAAGAAGGATGCAGCGTTGTCCATTCTGTCGTGGGTGTCGTAGACGCGTGCATGGGTGGTCGCCGGTCCCAATACGAGGGTGGGTTTCTACGAGGGGTAGGGTTTCCCGGTCGAGCCAGTGTACAGCGCGTGTAAAGGGTCGAGGCGCCTTTGTACGGCCGCCGCCAGAATTTATCTACGGTAGGGACTTTGAACGTAAAAGACCATGAAAGCCCTATGGTCTGGCGGTACAGCGCGAGTTTTACTCTCAGTAGGGTGAGGGTTCGATACCCTATTTCGCGGAAGCGGACGACTTGCGTGTTCAGACGCTTGCATGCCCGATTCCGCGTCATATTTTGTTGCGGACGATACTGCCATATACAATACAAAATGTACTTTTTTATCGACGCCAACCCCGACCTCTTAATCTATGGTACCTGCAGCTACGTCGAGTCATCATGTAAAACAATTATTGTACCTTGTAGTGGCAACGACATATAGTGAGTGCAGGGTGGACAATGGTGTTGCCAGCTCTCCTCGTCATAGCATCACAGCACGAGTGCAGCAGGAGTGGGCTTTGAGGCAAGAAAAGCAAGCCTTGGTAGCACTGTCTTGCTTCTCATATACAGGTAGTTCGGCAACGCAGGACCATGAGTATTAAAGCAGGCCTGGTTG